TAAACAAAATATTCTAAGTAGCAGTCATTATGGGTTTAGAGCAAAAAACTCTACATCAATGGCTCTCATGGAATTAATAGAACAAATAACTACTGCTGTCGATCAAAAACAGTATTGTGTTAGTATTTTTGTTGATTTAAAAAAAGCATTCGATACTATTGACCACACTATTCTCCTTGGAAAATTAAATAAATATGGTATAAGAGGACCAGCATTACACTGGGTATCTAGCTATTCAAAAGATAGGAAACAGTTTGTACAAATAAATGATGTAAGATCTGACCTGTGCAATATCACTTGTGGAGTTCCTCAAGGCTCTGTACTTGGACCAAAGTTATTTATTTTATATGTGAATGAGTGAATGTATCAGGACTCCTCAAATGTGTCTTTTTTGCAGATGACACCACATTTTTTTGTTTGGGTAAAGATGTGAAACGAATGTTGGAATTGATGAAGACAGAATTTGATAAAATACAAACTTGGTTTAAACTTAATAAATTATCATTAAATTTAGACAAAACTAAATACATGATATTTAGTAACAAAAAGAGAACTGTTGATGATCCATTTAAAATTGAGGGTGTTGAGATTTGTAAAGTTAATGAGATTAAATTTTTGGGTATAATCATTGATGAACAGCTAACATGGAAAAATCACATAAATTCTGTAAGAACAAAAATATCTAAATCTATTGCAGTACTATACAAAGTCAGGGAATTATTAAATGATAAAGCTCTGTACATGTTGTATAACACAATCATTGTTCCACATTTAATCTATTGCATTGATGTTTGGGGGAAAGCATGTAAAACATTTACAAAACCTATTTTTATTTTACAGAAAAGAGCTGTAAGAATTATCACCAGAAAGCATTACAGTCACCCATCAAGCACATTATTTTATCAACTAAAGTTACTGAAGTTCCATGATTTGGTAGATTATAGTATTTTATCAGTTATGTATAGGGCTCAAAATAACACATTACCGTTAAATATCCAAATAAATTTCATTAAAAAACAAAGCTGTTATAATCTTAAGGGGATAGAGATATTTGTCAAACCAAAATTCAGAACTAGTCTGAAGGGAAGGTCTAGCTCAATCCAAGGAGTTGGATTGTGGAATGTTCTAGAGAGTGATGTGAAAAATGTCAAGTCAATGTGTACATTTAAGAAAAAGATCAAAGCTGAATTGTTAAAAAATATATATGAAGTAGCTTAGTGTGTGTTTTGTATTAGAATTAGAAAAATTAGAAAGAGTTATTCATTTTGTTCAGTTACTTGAAAATTATTATGATTGAAATAATTGTTTGAAAAAAGGGGCAGATATAATAAGATTTTTTCTTCTTTCTGCTGCCTTTCATTTTAAATCTTTTGTATCTTTTTTATATTGTCATGGAATTGTTTTGTACTTTTTTAAAATGAATAAACTTTATACCATACCAAGTTGCTTCCTTTCAGCAGTTTAATGGAATGAGGAGAGCGCCCCCTACTGGTGGATGTGGCACTAACAGTCAATCCCAGAACAGGCTTTCTAGCTGATTACTGGTGTATGGATTACAATTTCCTTAAATAAATTAATACAAACATTAATGTAACATGAAAAATAGGTTGCAAACAATAAGTTGTACGCAATTTTAAATTGTTTATAGGCTTAAATGCAATATGAATTAATATTTATTCTAAACCATTTTTATGTTATGAAATCATACGAACAGTTCTTCAACCTGTCACACTTGCAACAATTTGCTCGTTTCATTGTCAGTGCCTGTTATAGACCCAGTCCTAATGACTTTGATGAAACTAAGACAGAACTTTGTCATTTAGCACGGCAGTTTAAAACATCACAAGGTCAAAAACAGAAAAGTGAGAAGATATTTATTATTGCACTTTAACACGTTTACACATCACATTCGTTGAACATTTACTGGAAACAACTGAGGTACAACTGAACAACCTAAAGTATAAACCAGTAAACTGCTGTCGTTTTTACAGCTGCAACATTTAATTTGTTATTACATGCTAAGCAACACTTAAACAAAAATGAAATTGGCAAATAATATTATTATTTGTGTATTTTACTGTATGTGTTAATATGTAGACTGGGAGGAGACCCCGGGGAAGACCCAAGACACGCTGGAGCGACTACGTCTCTCGGTTGGTCTGGGAACGCCTTGGGGTCCTCCCAGAAGAGCTGGAAGAGGTGTCTGTGGAAAGAGATGTCTGGACTAGAGGACATTTTTTCGGGAGTCCTGCGGGTCACGTGATTCCTGCGGGATTCAGGCGGGACCAGTGTCAACTTTATTATTACTCACGTGATTGCGATGGAGCAAAAGTTAATGGGAGCAGACGAGAGCGGGAACCAACATAAAAAACAAACAAACAAAAAACTTCGGACTGGCGCTCTGATAATGCTTCTGGCCGCCTTTTTCCATCCGCTGCTTTCAGGCAATTTTCTGTTTGAAACCAACATCCCTTTGGTTTTATCAGCATTTAGCACCAGTTTGAGATGGAAGAAATGGGACTGGATGATGTCGAATGCAGACTGTAAAAGCTGGAAAACCTTAGCAACTGTTCTAGCTCGACTGTAAACAGCTGTATCATCAGCGTAGAGCATCTGGAGTATATGTTCATCTAATAGCTGATCTGTTCAATTTTAGCTTGTAGGGGAGCCAAAGTTCTTGATTTGATGAGAAAAGTTTAGTAAATAATAAAATCCACTCCTTTTTTTTTTTAGTTTACTTTGAGTAAAATGACTCACTACTCTTGGGGATCTACAGGACTTTATTACTCTGCTTATGATCAGTTTAGTAATTTTCACCTTTTTTGTTTTTAAGTTGTCTCAACATTTTCTGATTTTGTCATATTTCCTTTAGAGAAATGAGGAAAACTTGCATCATTGAGATATGTGTATTTCAGGCCACTAAGTTCCTGTTTTTAGCACATGTCGTAACATTTTACAACAGTTGAGACGGTAAAACAGAAAAGTCAACGTGTTTATTCTGAAAGACGTGAAAAATACTTTTTAGTCGGTACAATTGAATTCCTGCGTCTTATGACGGCATTATCAACCACACGAAGAGGAAAAATCCTGCACATCGGAAGGATTTTTCCTCACGAACCGCGTCGTATTTCAGTTTTTAGTTGAGTCCAAATATGGATCAGGGCTTTGAGTCCATTTAAAAACTGATCCTGGTGCAGCGGGCCGCACGCCAGAGAGTTTACAGCCTAAATCTAAATATAGGGGCTGTGTCACAGCTCAGAGGGGCCCATTAGATGTGAGAAATATAAAAAACAGTCTTGTGTACCACACCCAGACGTGTAAGCAGAGTACACCCTCTGCATGTTGACATCATGGCTCCAACGGTAGAAAACACGTCCCAAAAAGGAGTTTATGGCAGTGAAACTTTCACCGTTCACTCTGAGCTGCTTTCTCCTGTGTTTAGATCAAATTGGTTTACCAGTGTTGTCGACTTTGTTATCCGTGCTTCCTAGAACTAAACCATCTTTATGCTCTGCGCACCTGTTCATTGTCCTGAAGACCTTTGGGATGCATCCACACCAGTAAATGTCTGGGATCCACTTAGAGCAAACAATCCAGTTTTCTTTAGGCTTTGCAAAAAAAATATGTTTGTAGAAAAACACAAGACAGCAATGTCTAATTGAACAACTGCTTCTTTAAATGAAAATCAGACATGCCAAGCCAATCTAGGAAGAGTGAAAATCTGAATTTTCTAGAGCTGACTTCCTCTGAATTGAAGAGTTCTTATGGTATGGTATAAAGTTTATTCATTTAAAAAAAGTACAAAACAATTCCATAACAATATAAAAAAAATACAGGAGATTTAAAATAAAAGGCAGCAGAAGGAAGAATAAATCTTATTATATCTGCCCCTTTTTTCAAACAATTATTTCAATCATAATAATTTTCAAGTAACAGAACAAAATGAATAACTCTTTCTAATTTTTCTAATTCTAATACAAAACACACACTAAGCTACTTCATATATATTTTTTAACAATTCAGTTTTGATCTTTTTCTTAAATGTACACATTGACTTGGCATTTTTCACATCACTCTCTAGAACATTCCACAATCCAACTCCTTGGATTGAGGTAGACCTTCCCTTCAGACTAGTTCTGAATTTTGGTTTGACAAATATCTCTATCCCCTTAAGATTGTAACAACTTTGTCTTTTAACAAAATTTATTTGGATATTTAATGGTAATGTGTTATTTTGAGCCCTATACATAACTGATAAAATACTATAATCTACCAAATCATGGAACTTTAATAACTTCAGTTGATGAAATAATGTGCTTGATGGTGACTGTAATGCTTTCTGGTGATAATTCTTACAGCTCTTTTCTGTAAAATAAAAATAGGTTTTGTAAATGTTTTACACGCTTTCCCCCAAACATCAGTGCAATAGATTAAATGTGGAACAATGATTGTGTTATACAACATGTACAGAGCTTTATCATTTAATAATTCCCTGACTTTGTACAGTACTGCAATAGATTTAGCTATTTTTATTCTTACAGAACAAAGAGTTCTTATCACACTTTATGGTGTTTTATCTAGTTTATTGTCACAGAAGGTCCATGGGGTCATAAATGTTTTATGTATATGTAGTAGTCACATTCCAACATGGATTCTGATTGACTCTTGTAAACAACAATAAAAACCATGTAATTAAGAAGGCTAACCACCAATTAAGCTCATTTTCTTTATTTATTCTACTACAGTGATGTCATATATTAAAATAAGCTACATTTTTTACCAACTACAGCCATCAAAGGGATGTAAAACCTAATTGTGCTGTAGAACATTGTAGTCACTAGTGATTGCTAGCTGACTGAATCCTCACCCTCGTGGAACAGTACCTCTGTTTCTATTGGCTGACGTGCCTGTCACGCTTATGTGTTCCCGCTTGTGATTGGACAGAACAACGCAAAGCTCAGTTTGCTTACTTGTGATTGGCTGTTGCTACCGTCACTCAGGGCGATGAGGCTGCGTAGCGAGGACGTCTGGTGGAGCCCGTCAGGAAGCGGAGGTTCTTATATTTCATCGTTTGTGAGGATAAAGAAAGGGTCAAACGTGGGGTGTAGCGGACGGGGGGTCACAGATGAAGGCAGGTGGATTATTTCCAGCTACTTTGCGGAGAAGTTGAGGGCGGAAGGCTTTTGTTATGATTTGGCGTTGAGGATGTTTACGGTTCAGCCTCAGCGGAGTCTCTGACGGACAGTCAGAATAAAACTGGTGCTTCAGCCCTCGGGGTGAAATAAAAACACTTTATTTTATTTTTTCTACTGGGCTGTGGGCTGGCGGCTCGCCAACAAGTGACCCTGGAGCAGGACACGGAGGTAGGTGTTTAAAAATCTGGACATGCTGTTGTTAAAACCACCTGCCAGACATAAAGGACATGGAGCTGGATGTGATTCTAACAGACAGCACCAGCTTTTCTAATAAGCACCATTCACGAATTCACCTTTATTTTTAATCTGTGACCAATGAACAGGATATTAAAGGGTCATTAATTATCATTATTATACATTTTAACTATTACATGCAGGTAAATTCCTCGTATTTAAATGAATGTTGTTACTCACAGGATATAAAGAGCAATAACTAAAAGTCAGTGTTCAGCTTTCCTGTCATTTTTAAACAAGTCCAAGTTCTAATGATAATGTTATTAATGGCAGATATTCTGTTTGTGTCCAGCGGAAACAATTTGAAGTGTAAAAGCTTTTTGAACGGCCTCGGTTTGGTTTTAAAGATACTTAACTTACTGGTTCAAAAAGAACAATAATGTTTTTTTTTAATGTGCGCTTGGATTAAAACATTCTAAGCAAAATTTGCGAGCCGCTGCCAGCTATCACATGTGTTTGTTTACCTACAGAAACAGCCAAAGTGAATAAAATAGGTAAACAATGGTGATGTTAATGATAGAGACATTTAAAACCAAGAATTTTGCCAATTTTGACGCTTAGATTGGTTGAGTAAAGTATGCGGATAAAAGTTTGTTTACATTGACTGCCTACCCGCATTTCAGAATTACATATCAATATATATGGAAAATTACTGGTGTAAGCTCTTTCAAGCTGCACCATTTGATTTAGGGTTAGGATAAAATGTATATATTTGGTTTTATATTTCTCAGTGAGTACCTTTAAGTCTGACAGCTTAAACCAAAGTTTTACGCTACCATCATTTCCATGGTTATTTGCATGTGTGTGTGCGTGCACATGTGTGTTCTCATGACTGAGTCCTTTCATCCACAATGGAAAGACTCGCACAGACCCGAAAAGGGTGGAGTGCGTCTGAGAGCGCAACGCCCTAACAGGAGAGTTTCACACCAAACGTACAGAAGTAGCTTGTAGCGAGGAAAACGTGACACCGCTGGGTCTCCTGCTGGAATTTACTCTCGTTTTTATAAAGAGCACACACAGACTTTGTTGACTAAATGCCTGCTTGGTAAGTTTCAGCGTGGTAGTGTGATTATTTTCATTTTCAGCTGCTTTTATATAACATGACAGCAAAAAAAACCTACTTTATTTGCATTGAAACAAATCCTTGGGGACTGCCTGATTATGTTCAATGACTGAGATGTTATTTTATTCTACATATTGTTGCTGTCTTGTAAAATTAGAGGTAACACTTTCTTTTGCAACCAGATGTTTAACCGAAGCCTTTTGTGGGTTTCAGTTTTGATGGACCGTTTCAGACTGTTTGCTGGAGTATCTAAATAGCTGTCACATCTATAAAGCCTTCCTTGTAAGTGCCTGAATGGTGCAGTCTTGTTTGTTTGGCTACAGGGTGGATCTGGTTAACTTTAAGCCAAATTAAATCCCACCGGGAACTGGTTCAGCTGTAAAGCAACTGTTAAAGTGATGATTTCCACCTTGTTGGGGCAGCAAGCATAAAGGTCTACTCCACAACTTTTATGAACTATGTGTCAGAGTAGATGCACGTTTGTTCAATTCCCCCATAGCTGCTTCTTTGTCCAAGTGGCATTGTCCAAAATTTGACTTGGATATTTCAAACTATCTCTGAAATAAATTTAAATGTATCTTAAATTAACAACTAGAACTACTTTTAAAGAGCTAAACTGGCAGCCCAAGCCAACAGAGAGAGTTTAGTACCGTACCATTCCATACCATACCATTCCATACCATACCATCCCATACCATTCCATTCCATACCATACCATACCATACCATACCATTCCATCCCATCCCATCCCATACCATACCATACCATACCATACCATACCATACCATACCATTCCATACCATCCCATACCATTCCATACCATTTCGTACCGTACCGTACCATTCCATACCATACCATACCATACCATTCCATACCATACCATCCCATTCCATACCATACCATACCATACCATACCATACCATACCATACCATACCATACCATACCATCCCATACCATACCATACCATACCATACCATACCATACCATACCATACCATACCATACCATTCCATCCCATACCATTCCATACCATTCCGTACCGTACCATACCATACCATACCATACCATACCATTCCATACCATCCCATACCATACCATTCCATCCCATACCATCCCATACCATCCCATACCATTCCATACCATTCCATACCATCCCATACCATACCATACCATACCATACCATACCATTCTACCATTCCATACCATACCATACCATACCATACCATACCATACCATACCATACCATACCATACCATACCATACCATACCACTTTATTTATAAAGTACTTAAAACAGGAACAAGGCCAACCAAAGTGCTGGACAGCAGACACAAAACAAGCAAAGGATACAGGATAAAGTATGTAGATCCAAGTAGGTAAAGATAAGAATTAAATGACTAACATCATAGAATACAGACAATATAAAATCAACTCACACAGTGTCAAAAGCCTGGGAATAAAATGAGTTTTCAAACGAGATTTAAAAGCAGTGAGAGAGGGAGCCTGCCTGACATGCAGTGGTAACTCATTCCACAGTTTTGAACCTGGACCAGAGAAGGCCCTGTCACCGCTGAGCTTAAGACGAGTGCCTGGAACCAATAAAAGCATCTGGTCTGCTGACCTCAGAGACTGCTGTGGGCCATATGGCTGCAGCAGATCAGTGAGATAAGATTTGGGAATAATTTGTGAATAAAAATATATGAACTTTGGAAAGTTTTGAAAGGCAAATTATGTAAATGTTAAACATTAGTTTAAAGGCACCACAAAGTCCTGACATTTTTGCTGTCTGAGTCCTTTAAAGGAATAAGTTGTATAATTTGAAGTGGTTTTCTGTGTAAAAACCATGAATAGTCATTATTCCACCTCTTTTTGCCCTTTCTTGTTCATCATTGATTAGTGACGTAAAAAATCTTTGGTTATTTAGGAGTGTTATAAGTGGCCATTGTAATCGGTTCTTCAGACACAACTACATGGGAGCAGGGTTTTTTCAATGCACAAAGTTATAAAAAATATATAATTTCTGTATGAACAAGGCCTTAATTGTGGACCCCCCTCCCAAAAAAAAGTTTTTTTTTTTAAATCTATAAAAGTGTTTTGAGAATGTTAGGCTTCGTCCACTCAGAAAGTCTTTCTGAAAAATGTTTTCTCAAAAAATATCTTTGTAAACATGGCGCAGTTTCTACAAATGTTTTCATCCACACGGAAACACAGAAAACGACCCAAATGCAGTTGTAATTATGCCAAGAAAGTATGTGGTACTGTAACGCTGCCACAAAAGCACAACAAAAACAGGAAACAAGACAAGGAGCAGGCACTCTAAACTGTTAAAACAACACAAAAGATAGGGGGATGAATACAGTAGTCCCTCGATTATTGTGGGGGTTACGTTCCAGACACCCCTACGATAGGTGAAAAACCGCCAAGTGGAAACGCTATATTTATTTTAGTATTTATATGTATTTTAAGGCTTTATAAACCCTTCCCACACTCTTTCAACGTTCTTAACAATGTTCTAAATTCTTAAACCTACTCAGTTTTAATAACATATGTATATGTACTGTACAGTACTGCAAAATTTTAAATGGGTACTCATCAGTGAAGATACTGTACTACTAGAACTTGAAGGATGAGTTCAGCTTCAGGATTATTTGTGACTTTCCTGCCAGTTCTGAGCTTAATAGAGATATTGTTACTTTTTGACTGCGTGGCAAAACTATATTTACCATAATATTGGTTTCTTCGCTAGTGTTTGCTCCCTCCATTGCTGTTCTTTGAATTTTGGCAGAAAGCAGCGACCGGGAGCACTGTTGGCTTCTGGTCCGTGTAGTTCTTTTGACTTGCGTTACAGTGTAAGCTTACTGAAAGAAAACTACAAAATGGTGGCACCTGTCCGAAGTATTTTCTTTCCGCTCCTGTTAACTTTTTATCTCGTACTGTCCCAATCACGTGAGTATATTAAAGTTGATAATCGTGTGTCGTGTACAGTCTTCTGTTGAAAACCCACGAAAGAGTGAGTCTGCACATGTTGAATCGCAAAGTATCAAGGGACTACTGTACAAGAACAAAAACCACATTTTTTTTTGTCACTGATGACAAAGTGAAACTTTTGCTTTGTGTTCCATTAAACTACTTAGAGCTGTAATGGTACAAATACATAAATATAATGGACGCAGGGTGTCCAACAAGCAATGCCTGGAGGGAAGGATTTTCTTGCAGATATTTGAATATTAGACAAAAAAATATTACACACTTATAAAAAATGGGTGTGTAGCAACTGGGTTAACCCGGGTTAACAGCGACTGCCACTGGTTCTTTTGACAGGGTGCCGGCCGACATGGTGATGCTGTTAGTCGAAGACCACGAGGAGGGAAACGTGTCAGGAGACAGGGAGAAGAGGAAAGTCAAGAATTTAGGACTGAGGGTGGCATCTCTAAATGGGGGGACAATGACAGGCAAAGGTAGAGAGCTTGCTGACATGATGCAGAGAAGGAAGGTATATGCTTTATGTGTCCAAGAGACCAAGTGGAAGGGCAGCAAGGCTTGCAGCATTGGAGCATGGTTTAAACTGTTTTACCATGGTGTGGATAGAAAGAGAAATGGGGGTATTGTTGGTCCTGAGGAAGGAGTTAGCAAATAATGTAGTAGAGGTGAAAAGAGTGTAGGGTTGTAATGATAATAAATTACCTTTGCTTAGTCACAAAATGCTGTTCCCGTGTGGACGGGGTCTTAGTTTGTAGTTGGTTTGGAGGGAGGAGTGGACATAAGCAAGTGCTTTCACTGCTCTACTGACATCCTTTATTTGAAAGGAGCCTGTGGTTTTCCATCACATGAATGTGTGTGTTTGATTCTATGCTTCTTTGATGTAATTGTCT